CGGTAAACGAGCAGACTGATCACCTGATGGTAAGCAATTGGCGCCTCCCATGGACACCTGAAATACCAGAGGCGTTATAAGTGCGTTACCTGCTTTTTGGGAATTAGGAATTTAAGGATTGTTGGGGTTTCAAGAATTGGAGAAGAGGGTAATTGGTCTGGTCAAAATATGATAAAATGTATAGTGCTAATTCAGTTAGGGACTCAGCTGACGGTGTCCTTAAACTATACAATTAAAAACAGTACCAAGGAGTTTCCTGAACTGCCGACCATGTTGACCATGTGACCAGGGTTCCCATTTTTGAAATTCAAAATAATGAAACGAAGGTATGAATTAAGTTTGACGTGCCTACCGCCTGTATTATCAGACTAAGAGAAACAACTGTTGAAAGTAGAAGTTACATTCATTGAAAGTGCAGTTCAGTATTACCAAAGATAAAAAAGCACTATGTGATGTATATTTCTTATAATCTTAACATCTATCTATCTATTCTATTCCATTATCACTAGGATTTCCTCCTGTGTCATGCGTTTACAAACATACAAGTTCATATATACACATCACACCCAGATCCGAAACAACAATCTGTAGATCACACAAAGAGTTGTTCCGTGCGGTAATCGAACCCGCGACACGTTTCACGGTAGCCAGTTACCCAGGCAACGCGCCAAACGTGCAGTCATCAGTAATAAATAACTCATAATAAATGCATCTAAGTAGTTTAGTACTAAGAAGTTTACTCCTCACATGTTCGTAGTTGACCTCTCCCGCGGGTCGTGAAAGGTCACCCTTCATACGGTGAGCAATCATCCACTTATCTATCAACAGCTGTATCATTATACTGTCTCGTTTCTGGGAACAATCCCACTGAGTATCCGTGATATTTAGCTATCATTGCACTGGTTACTTAAACTTGGTTATTGTAAACAGATATTTGAGGTTTAAAAAAGATTCTATAACCGTTTACATTTACTGCTAGATTTCCTTCATTCTTCAACAGCCTATACTAAGCAAAGCCACCCACTGCTAAGCAAAGCCTTTTTTTCACACGGAGAAGGTTTTAGCATTAATCACCACGCTTGCTCAATGCGGGTAATTTCAGAAATTATAAGGTAAGGTATCCTGCAATGGGACGCTCGCGGCGGCTGCGGGATCACAAAAAACTGCGGTCTCGTGAGTTTTGAAAATTCCGTCTTCATTCCGCCACCGTAGCGAGTGCGGTAGAAGAGCGTGAGTGAATCCTTAGCCTTAAATACAATATTACCATCAGTCAACAACGACGCTGATTTAAACAATTCATTACCGCGATTATTTCTGATTAATCTGTGCATTAGCCAAGTGTTTTGTTGCCAATTTTAGAGTGGTTGCCAATGGAAACAAAACGCCGTCAATGTCATGGCAGATGTTATTGTTGGTCTACTTACTGGCGACTTGCCACTGAGAACACGCGACACTTCTGAACCGGAGACGCTTTTGTCAAATTATGTTCATACCAATAGTATTTTGTAATACCTAGTTAGTCATGCATTTAGTGATTTATGGCCACTATTATTAGCTTTTATTACGCCCACATCAAGTGTAAGACTCATTAGGTAATAGTGTAATATTTTTGTGCACTATTTGTCGCATGGAGCTGAGCAGAGACTTCTTTTTCTACCTTCAGATAGGATAGAACAGAAATTTTTTTTTATTGTAAGTACACCATAAAAAAACACAAAAGACAAAAATTTATGAGCTAATAGTACCTACAATGGGCGGTCATATCACTATGAATCTTTTACAGATAACTTTTGGATGGATAGACAGTAAAGGAGGACATGGAGAAGGAAACGAATCACCATCAGTCATTCCAAAAATTATTTTAAAGTTCCACGTACTAACATATCGAAACGACAAATTAGATTCACTTCTGTCTGCCGCCCAGCAATAGAACGCCCTCTAATACTCAAAGCGATGACCAACCTACAACTTCAGCACTGCAACTAAGCACTACATGGTCCAGAATAAGGCTCCGGTTGCATATTTTAATGTGCAGCCAAATGCGACGAAGCGTGAAATGGAAATCTTTCGGGATCGTAACTGCCTGCTTTAACTGCAGCGCAATATCGGAATACTGTTTTTGAAAAAAAAATATGCTATCAAGGATATTGCTTGCAGTATTACAATATTCTGTATCATGGATTTTTAAATTATTTTTCAAAATTTTGCTGTAAGAGTCTTAATACGCTGAGTCGAGATTTTGATCTGCTGGTGGGAATGGTTGCACTTTGTGGGAGTGTATATAAAGAATATGATTGTAACTTTCGGTGTTTATACATAGGTACCTAATTATTTTAAATGTTTATTTACATTACTTTAATATGTCAAACATCATGATCTATCCTATGAAACTTTTAATGCAGATTTTAACGTGGAATTCATATAACTCCATGAGTTATTTTTATTAAATTATTCCCAGAATATTATCAGCATCAAACTAAACCACGTACATGGAAATTCATTCATAAAATCGTTGAAGCACAATTCATTTCGATACGCATAAAATAATTAACTTCACAATAAAATCAAAACTTCCCAATATCAGTTTATTTTCGTTTTATGCTACAATCCATTAATGGATTTTATCTAAATCAATCATCAGTCCATTTCAAATATTTTTTCATAACTCACGAGGAGTGTTTCCAAAATTATCCTACTATTTAGGTCACTTTGATCATATAAATTGATAAGGGAGTATCAATCTTTCATTTATGAATGAAGTAAGTATATGGGTATCAGTTAGGTTAGTAAATGTATGTAATCGCCTTTAGATACTAGATTTTTTATTATAACTATAAAGAAGGCAAATCTGGCGAAGGAAAGGCTATCTGAAGAGTTACGTTTGTTTGCTTTTTTGAACTCGATAATCTTAGAACTACTGGTTCGATTGAAAAGATTACATTTGTTCTGGATAGTCCACTTATGGGAGAATGCTATCGGCTATAAGACAGCAATCTATGATCAATAGGAGTGTAGCAAAGCGTGAAACCGCGCGAGAGAAGCTATATTTTTAATTAGATAAGTAAGTGCTGACAAATTTTTTTTTTTTTAAACATTGCCCCACACGAGGATTTTCTCCTGTGTCGTGGGTGCGTTTACAAACATACAACTTCACATACACAATGACACCCAGACCCGAAACAACAATTTGTGGATCACACAAAGCGGGAATCGAACCCGCGACACGTTGCACGGCAGCCGGTTGTCCCAGCCACCGCACCAACCGTGCAGTCAAAATTGGTTACTTAGTTCATAGGTTCACCATATAGGTTCACCATATACATAGGTTCAGCTTTTTGTAACATATGTACTGATTACAGACTGCCTCGTTAGCCGAGTTGTCGCAAGTGCGACAACAGGTCGGGTAAAGTATTACTGGGTTTTTAAAACATTCTCAGTAGTAGCATGGAGTCTGGAATTGTGCACGGTATATGGCAATCGGCTCACCCCCTATTACATGGGACTCATAACATATATATTGAAAAGTGGGTGTTACATTGTAGGTACAATGGCACGCATAATGTGCACCTCTGCCTACCCCGTCGGAGATAAAAGGCGTGATGTTATGATGATGATGATGATGATGATGTACTGATTACTATGAATTCTCGTCATCGTCATCTCCATCATCAGCTAGAAGGCGTCCACGGCTGAACAGTAAAGGTATTAACTTCAATATTGTCGTCTAATATATGAAACTTGAAACTTAGACCTGTACGGTACACTAAGATCATGATTGTGTATTTTATTTGTGAATCGCAAACATAGGTGTTTGAAAAGGAAATAGAATCTGCGACACGTTAACGCTGATCACTGCACCAATAGTGCAGTCATTCAGTATACTATAACACATTTTTAAGAGTAATTTTATCTACTAACGTTGCAACAAAGCTCTGTTCCTCTTACGAAAGCATAGACATGAAGAAACTCATCAATAAGAAATACCAATATAATTTTAGGATACTAGAAACACCATGTTGTCTATAACGTGGTTAATTCTACTTCCATGTAGGTATTAGTCGGCTGCACGTCAAGCTATTAAAAACCAGTATAAACTGACCTTCCAATGTGCAGAAAGATTGTACAAAGAGCGACCTTGATAAACTGGTTGTATGGTTTGATGTGATCGCAGAAAACTGGTGAGCGCGACCGTGCCTACCAGTTCGTTGAATTATTGAGACGCCGCTCGCGTCCAAATTGAGTTCGTGAGTCCCCATATACTACACTACGTACCCTACGTACATACATGTAGTTCCATATTATGTAGTCTGTATACACTGAAAATCTATTTATTGGCTGAAGGAAAACAAAAAGTCATTTCATATTCTCTTCACAAACCAACACAGGTGCTATTCTGCTTCGGGTTTGGTAAAATTCTTGATGCGCTGTTCTGTAATTGGATTTAGGTTTAAAATTGCGTAAACAGTAAATTAATCTATTGCTGTATTATTGCTTAAGCTTGTATGCAACAACAGATGTGTTCCTGACTATCAATTCCTTAGGACAATTGGAAAATCACACATAAGTGGTATCGTGAACTAAAGTCGTTGATAGAATATTGACCTAAAAATGTTTAATCTAATCTAGATTGATACTTATAGCAATTGCAATATTAATAAAATTCAATATCAACAAAGTATTTCCAGATAAACACGTTATTGAATTCCATTTGTTATCTCTCAAGCGCTCAGGTCAATGCGATGCAAGTTTTTTTATTCAAACTAGCACGGTTCTAATAAACGAAAGATAGAAACGGAAGCAAATCATTGTTGTTGGAAATAGAAAAGGTAGTGTAGTTATAGATATTGTAGATAAGGTATGAGTGGGTGATCCTGTGTGCTATCTGTAGTAGTACAGTGTGTCCATGGCGCGGCACGGCAGCGAGTACACGCGAGGCGACCCTGACGACCCGGCCACCGCCCGCACATGCGCACTCCGCGCTACCCACAACACAAATCACAAAATGACGACGCCGGACACCGCTACGTATTAACTCGCTAAAAATATTTAACAAAAACCCGCAAAAGTGAAAATTATTAAACTATTTACTATAATCTTCGTACTTTGTTTTACAATATCGTGCAGTACGCGAATAGACACACACGCACGCGCGGTTCCATGTCAAAACAAACCAGTGCTTTTGCGATGTAAACATGAACGAACGTAAGATCCTGCTTTTTATTCTATCCGTGATTATTTATAGTATTTACAGTGTTCAAATGTGGTTTATGAAACGAAATGTTGAAGCTAACGTTGTACAAAAGAATACTTCTGAAGCTGGGATCACGGCCGAAGAAAATCAGTCAAATCCAGAAATTGAACCGCAGGCATTAAAAGCCATTATAAAACCAAAAGTCATTCCACTATTTATAAAAGATGCATGCAGCATCTTAGAAGTGTTTACTGAAAAACCAACTTTGACGGAGCGCAAACACAAACATCGTTTACGTATCGAAGATAATAATACGCTGACCGTCATAGGAATCACCGTATTTCTGTTGATCTTATTGCTCAATGCGATACTCGATGTATTGAAAGTGAAAGAAGAAGAAAGAGCCAGAAGGAAGCTGAACCCAGACGGAGAAAGGAGGCAATCGTTAGCAGAATTTGCTAACAAAAAACCTTTGCGTAGAGAATCTAGCAAGTTTGGACTACAGCTATTTCAAATAGCTGAAACATTTACAAATTCCGAGGAAGAAAAAAAGGATAATAACCGTCAATCAAGACCTTATAGGAGAGGAGATTCTACAAACTCGTACCTGAGTGAACCACAGAAGAAATCTCAAGAAGGATCAGCACCAGCGTCAATCGCCGAGACCCCGGCTGGAGATGCGAGACTTGTGAAAAGGCAATCTGTAGCCAGACTCTTTGGTATGCCATCTATTTTTATTTTCGTCGCTATTTTCGTATACTAACATGCAGTGTCGATGAAATAATTTATGAGTTCATTGCAAGTCTGCTATTTAAAGGTCGAAATATTGTTGATAAATGTGAATGTAAATGTTTATGATTTTAATGTTTTCTAAAGTTCTATCTCTTCTTTCACTGTTTATTTATTCTCTGTTTCATAACAAGGTCTGTCTGACGACTGAAAGACTTTCAGGTAATTAATATTCTCACACTTGTAGTTAGATCCCATATTTTTTTATACTTTCTTTGGTAGTTTGAGATAGTAAACTATTCTTTCTATCTATCACTATTAGAAATTGATTGAAATTAAATTGTTTCATGCCTTGCCTGGACCACTAACACATCAGTCAATAGGATATACGAATCGTAAAGATCGAAAGCACTTTACAGTTCAATAAATCCTTTATAGCATTGCATGTAAGCACGTAGATAGATACCATTTCCATTATAGCCATGTACTTAATGAAATCTGTCAATACATATCCATGTTGGCAAGTCTGTATGTAATCAATTGAGCTCGCAGTCCATTGAACACATGATTACGTTCCAAATGGTTAATCAAAGGTTTCATATACAAACTACAGCAGTACAATAAACTTCTGTTATGAATCCGCAATCAATAGTACTTCGGGGGTTTGTGGGGGAATTAGTTGGCGACTAATTGGCTTTTAGCTGTAGCCAATCGGTTTACTAGAGAAACCCTTTCATCCAATTTATAATTACCTGTTAGCTGACAAATATCTCTAGTGTTCCCCTAATGGTGATATTAATTGGTTCATACTTTACATACTGTAATTCTGCTTGAGTCTCCTTTAAATTAAATACGTTTAGCGTTATACCCTCGATTGATTAAGGAAATGTTTGTTTAACGGTTTCAATCACAAAGTCATCATTTTCTGTATTCTGAACATTTTCAGAGGAAGTTTTGGTAAGGAATTTGCAAGTGTAACAGGGTGTTAGCTGGAAATGTGAGGGTGTGTGTAATTCTGGAAGTAAACCCATGTAATTCTCAATGTTCATCAGTGTTACAGAATGTTCTGTTCATTTATTCATTGTGTTGAGCGGAGCTTTAGTACCCGTATCAAGCGCGACGTCGGTCGCGACCCCACGCAAGGATTTGGGTAAAAGATGGTTGAACCGCTAATTTAATGACAAATTGTCATTGTTTTTTTTTACTTTTAGCACTGAAAAGAAATCCGTCACGAATTGATTAATTTATCCTTGTCTTTTTGTCTGTTTGTACCCAAAACTCACACTTACCATAGACGTTATTCTGCAATCATCTCACGAAATATATTGATTTTATTTGCTCTCGTCTTAATATTGAATCGAAACAGCAACCACAGTGTGATTTTCTTATAAACAATCACGTTCTTCAATATGCTTAATTGATTTTAATATATTTGAACAGCTTTTCCTTTCCCAAGGAGGTCGTCCAACAACAATGGTGCGTCGCTCGTCATTCCCAGCTCTGCCTCTCAATCCTGAGGTCCAGGCGTTGATGCTGGGGCATCGGCAGACATCAGTTGACAGCGACGATGAGAGCGACCCTAGAGGGCGTCGCGTTCGCCTCATTCGTAGGTTTTAAACGCCACGACTGATGCTTTTACTCATGTCATGGTTATCACTGGTATAAGTAATTGTGTAATTGCAATTTTTGACACTCTTGTTCATAAAATCCTCTTAATAATACTGTTTAAATGAAATCTCATATCAGTATCGTTGGGCCAAATATTTAAAAACTAAATTTATATGAACAGAAGCGTTTTTTGTTAAAATTGTAGTTCTGACGTGTTCTAGTCTTTTTTCTATAATACTTGCCTAATTTTATGGATCGTCTGAGATTTACCTAAGAGTATTATAATATTTGTTTTAGTACTTATTAGAATTATGTAATGGGATTGTAATAATTTTCTTTATGCTTGTTAACTTATTGATATTTTGTTGTCTTATGGACAAAAATAATAATTTGAACAGAGTTGTACCACTAAATGTATTGTTTAGTAAGTAGGTGTTCAAATACCAATTGCCTTAGTTTAATTGCGTAGCAGTATTTTTGCAGATACATTACCCGATTTCAAAAATGGAGGACGTTTTATACATAACTAAATTATAATAATATGTATTTATGTATACACATAGATAAGTATATTTTTTAAGTATAAGCTGGTAAACGTGCCGATGGATCACTTGATGGTAAGCAATCGGCGTCGCCCATGGACACCCGGAATACCAGGCGTTACAAGTGCGTTATCGACCTTTTGGGGATTAGGAATTTGCGGATTGTTGTGGATTGGAGATATTGGAGGTGGGGGGGGGATAATGTGGCCTTCGGTAACCTCACTCACATGACGAAACACAACGCAAGCATTGCTTCACGTCGGCTTTCTGTGAGGCCGTTGTATCACTCCGGTCGGACCGGCCCATTCGTGTCGAAGCATGGCTTGGCCACACTTGTAAAATTTATACTAACAGTTGCATTTTTAATATTCTATTTACAAATAAAAATTGTTAGCTTATAAGCAAACTCCTTTGCACTCAAATATTTATGGTGATTATTCAAAAATGTATTTAGATTAAGAATTTTGGCAAACAATGAACATTAACTACGAAATTTTGAATAAGTAAATGTATTGATTATAATATATTGTAATATTATATTGTAAAGCAGAGGCTTCTCTCGAGGATAAAAAGCATATCTTGTCTAGTCGCAATTTCCAAAATTTATAGACTGTAGGAGCGTGAATGTTGATCCTTCCAGCTATATGTCCTTAGAGATCGATGTTCTAAGATATTTCAAGATATATAAAACTTAGGAAAAATGCTATTTATAAAATAAATACATAGACCTAGTTAATAGGCCCATAAAATCTTTTTAACTTTCCAGTATATAATGAAATATAATTCTTTCAAATGATCTCTTAATATTGTAATATCTGAACTTTTTTTATATTATACAAATCTTTCCTAATAGTAAAACTTGACTAAACTTTAGTTTATTGAGATCCTGTTTCATCACTGTCGATTAAGATTTTTTGATTAAGTAACTGGCACATATTTTGACTCGTTTCATATGGAAAATAGAATTATCCGCCAGTTAGATTAACCAAAACTTGGCTAGAAGGGATGAAACAGGACCTAAGACTTTTTCGATATACAATACCTATTTACAGATAGGTATTAATTTCTATTGGTAGTTCGTACTCAAGAGTCATTTAATGATTTCTTAACCCATTCCTTAAAAAAATTCTTTGGAACACAATTGTCAATCAAGGTTCCTTGTACGTACTTCTAAGAAGTGGAATTCTTTGTCAGAGCCTATGTTTCCTGAAGGGTATAACCTGGGTGTCTTCAAGGCCCAAGTGAATAGGTTGCTTATGGGTCGACGTGATCCATCGTAGACCGCATCATCGCTTACCACCAGGCAAAATCAAACGTCGGCCCATCAAATATAAGAAAAATCGATACTAAGGAATACTGTGGCAGATATTAGATCTCGATAAGGGGGCTTACTCTTGAATCCAATATCCAATTTCGATCGATCGACATTGGTATTGTGAAATTGCGTACTCTTGAGTTGCAACACTAGCGCCCATTGCATCCGTATTGCGTGGATTTTGAATGAACTAAATGGTATTGAGTTTGTCTTTACCTATATTCCGTAGTCTGAATGCTATTTCAACAGCTACGGTAGGGGTTGTATAGTTTTGACATTGAATATTATTGAGGTCAGGATCCCAAACTAGGAAAATCTGTGCTATGGGCTCCTAGCCTTTCCCTCTTAACATGGACAATTTTTTAAAGTAAGTAATCGTTAAATGACTCTGAGTACACTAGTTAATTTTTGTTTCAAAATGGCGTGTGTCGATGAACATTTGTGGGCACGGGATACCTAAGATTATGGTCGAAAATATATAAAAATACGAACTGGGAACATAGACGAGCTTAAACGCGATACAAGAATAGGTGAAGAGAAATAGTGTAGAAGGAAATTGAAATTGTTTAACAGTATAAGTAGAATAAACACTATTACATACAAAATAAGTCTTTGTTTATTTTGAAGTTTTCCATAAATTAGTTAATTTTAAAAGTTCTTTATATGACTGGTGATCTTCTTTCTTCTTTAAAACCAAATGAAGATGTGAAAAAAAAAACAGTGCGCAATTAAAGTGTTTGTCCTTTCTATTTTTTTTCTAAATCTTGTCTATCGACTACGTAAATGGTTTCAATTTTCTTCTACACAAAATGTTCTAAGTAGGTATCATCCAGAACTGATGTGGTTCATCTTATAATACTTTAAAGTCTGATCTTTTTGTACTGAATGTATGATACTTGTGCATGTATTGTATTTATGTATTGTTGGACACTATGTGACCTGACATTTTGTATAGCACCTTTTGCAAAATACTAAATATCAAAATGTATCTAGATTAATTTTATTGATGTAGATTTTTCCTGAATTACAATTTAGTAATGTCACTTTGAATGTGTGTTATTTCGCTACCTGGAAAACATGGGGCATAGATGTAAATGAACAAATTTGTTTGCCCTTGGAATTTGAAACGATGCAGGACTTGCAGTGACCAGCCTCCTCTCTTCACATCACACACAAATAAGGTAATATACAGTTTTGTTCTTTCGATCGATGGGTTTCCTCTGCCTCTGGAGGTTGTCTAAGGGTTAGTTAGACACTCCATTGAATATCTACTTCATACGTATTCAATACCTACTTCCAATAGTGATAACAAGCAAATTACTTACAACTTAGATGTTTTATGGCCGACTTTGTTAATCTCAATAGATGTCTAATTCATTTTTAAACACATTTCCTAGGAATGCAAGCGTGGGTGGCCTTTGCAGAACATGCTATGGAATTAGAACTATACGCATATGGAGCACATCAATCTGTTTTGTCTGAATGCCTAAAATCCAGCATACGAAACGAAAATATCTACCTAGATATTTTTCTAGACGATACTAACACAAACAGTGTTTATAGTAAACTGTGAAAATTGGAACTTTTAAATTTATGTGAAGTGATTGTTAACGAACAGGTAAATAAATGATTATTGATTACCTAGTGTGATGGAAGTTTCCGAAGCAGTAAACAGTTCTTTTTTTTCTTTTAAAACACTTTGCTCCACGTTTTGATTATCTCTTGTGTCGTGGGTGCGTTTACAAACAAACAAGTTCACATACACAATGACACCCAGACCCGAAACAACAATTTGTGGATCACACGTTGCACGGCAGCCGGTTGCTCAGCCACCGCACCAACTGTGCAGTCAAAACTGCATTTTTTTTGTTTAAATTTTGATCGGAGCATAGAATCGTTTGACAAAATATTGTCTACCCGTCAAAAACGCACGTTCGTTCTAAGTACATGTGTACCTGTCGCGGAGAACCTAACGGGTAACCGGGGCTCCGCCTCGACGTGCAGGAGAAGGAACGGGGTGGTTTTTAGTCAGTAAGAGTCTGACACTCCCTTCCGCCTCACCCAGGTGGGAGCAGTCATTCGATGATTTTCCCCCCTTAAAAAAATGAAAAAAAAGTACGTGTGTACCTACTTACTTCTAAAACTAACTTAAGGAAATAATAATCTTAAACAACAATCAAAAAAATCTAAATGCCCTCCAAATGATTTCTGTTACTTTCTTATAATCAAGCTTTGACCCACCAAGAAAAAAAAAGTTACAAAACCAAATTATAAATTGCACAAATTGAAATCCGGATCACGTTTCCAGTTTCTTGGAAAACTCATATATCTTCGGCACACTTTTTAAGCTCAACAACGTTCTAAGAAAATCTTGTTTCCTCGTTTTAATATATCCCAATTAACTAGACAACACCCGTTGTGTATACAAAGATGAAAATAGTTGTTCTAATGAATGCAAGGGGTAAAACTGGGACGCATATTTTGATGCACCTATTTCATTTTAGCGGGGAGTGACAGAATACATTACTGTTATGTTACGCTTCTTGTAATGTTTTATCTTAATTAGGATTTAGTGGTCGACGTGCCTGGATTAATAAAATGTGTATTTCATTTTTTAAAATGGTTTTGGTTGGAAGGAATGGGAATGATTAGTTACTTTGTTTAAGCTAAGATTGAGAAAAAAATGTGAATAAGTTTTTGTTTTTATTTCAATGGTTTCAATAGCCTACAATCCTTGAAATGATTTGACTTTTAACCTCTTGTCTGTCAATATATGAGATGCAATAGAATAAATATTGTGTTGCGCGTAGATCTGCGTTTCGACACTTCACAGGTTAATCTGTCTCAAAGATCCAGTAATAAACTGAACATTCGGTCTATAAACTTCAAGAACATTTTTCCTAAAACCCACGTGATTTGAAGTCCTACCTAAAAATGCGTAACTACTCTAAAAATGGCATTTCGAATCGAATATTTATTACATACTCTGTTCTCGCATCCGCAGTACAGATGAGAGATTTCGTAAACGTCATGGACTCATTATTTGTTATTGTGTTACGGCCGACTGTCCTCGACCTAACACCGCGCCGTATTGGCCTACTGCCAACCGTACCGATCTGTACTGAGCTTATCAGTTCGTCTTGCATCGCTTTCTCGTCGTGTTTCGTATGATATATCTAGGTACGAATACATTTTGTTTATGTTTACGGTTGCTAAATACCTTTTGTTTATGGATGATTGATTTTCTGGTTTGGTTTCTATGTTTTCAGCTATATGTAGCAGTACCTATATAGGTGAAGGACTGTAAGTCGATGCTGATGTTTATTTTTCTTAAACATTTTTATTTTTTAGTAGAAAATCTTAAAGCTATGTAATAAAACTGACCATTTTTCATAATGAATGTTGTAAAAACACTATTCTATTATACATTCCTGATTTAAAATATTGTAGGCAGAATTTTTGTAGAAAAATCTTCATAGCAAAGACCTTGTTATAGTTTTAAAAATAATTCTCGATCGTCCGCCCGACACGGGATGCAGTCTTCTTCAGGCGGGAACCAGAGCAACTCGCTTCTGAGTTTTCTCGTTACAAACAAACATACGAACAACACTTTGAATTGAGTAACAGCATACGTTAAACATAAACACAATAATGACTGCTTAAGTGCATTACTTTCAACAGTGAAGTGAGATAAACGTGCATTGACGATTTAAAAAATGGATTACAATGAAGAATTGCTGCCAACAACAGTTCTACACTGGAATTATAGAGGTTTTACCGAATTCCCATTAAATCAATTAAAGGGTGAAGAAGGAGAGGTGACTGATATTTATTTGAAGGAGAATCTCTTGACTCGTTTGCCAACTAACATAGGAGTTTTGGAGCATTTAGAGAGCCTCTACGTCAGCGGTAATGATATAACGGAGTTGCCGAGAGAGATATCTAAGCTGCGATGTCTCAAGTGTCTAGATGTTAGCGGGAACAGATTGAAGCGTATTCCTGAAGAGATAGCTGAAGCGAGGAGCTTAAAGTTCCTAATATTAGATGAGAATGAATTAACAGAGCTGCCGTTGAGGATTTCGGAGCTAAGACGTCTACGGTACCTATCGGTTTGTGGTAATTTAATTCTTTACTCTAATTTTATGTGGCGTGTGGTGTTTACTGTTGTGAGTAGTCAGTCTTTTGATATTATTGCATGTAAATAAATATTAACAAACACGATACAAGGTTTCCAATACACTTTTGAGAATGTGTCTTCAAAATTCCCTATCTAAAAAAGTAGGTACCAAAAATAAGCGTTGATACGCCTATAAAGAGTGTCGTATTTAGTAAAAGCTTTGTGGTAATCACCAGGTACCCACGTGTACGGTTTCATAACACATCTCAAGGCTAACGATCTAGTAATAAAGCTCCGAGGTATGAATTTAACGTATTCGCAACGTGCGGCAGATCACGCCAAGGCCACTCTCTCTTTAAATTGTTTGACTTACTATAAAAGACCGTATTTTTTATTTGAATATGTACCTATGTTTTTTATTAAATTGCCAAAATTAATAATTTCATATTTCACTTCTCAATCAAGTAAGTGAATATTGTTCACCAAATTTTCAAACATTCTAAGTAATTGCAATCTGTTGAATTTAAAAAATCACAGATTAATCAGGTTTTTTTTTAAACGTTGTCCCACATTCGGATTTTCTCCCGTGTCGTGGATACGTTTACAAACATACAAGTTCACATACAGTTACTTATAATGTTATCTGTAAAGACTTGTTAGGTAGGTACTTAGTATTTTAAAAATTACGCTGTTTACATAATCATATTGCATAGATGAATGACTTAATTCAAGAGAAAGACTCACCCAAAACAACGCTCTTACAAGCCTACCATCTTCATTATCATCTCAAAATATTATCTTAAACAAAGTTGCATCCCACACAGAACCTCATTACCGACCATCGTTAACAAATATAACAAAACAGAGGACGGTACTAATGCGCTCCAGTTACGTTTTACTATTCGTCGTAAAGTTTGGGAAGACACTAGTTTTGGCGCCTTGGATAACAAACTATCCGCGATAAATCAACTTTAGCGTTTCCTCATTGATTCGGTTGACCCATTTACAAGGTACATACGGCCACACATCAATCTATACAAAACCAGTTTATCCTGGTGTCGCGTCGCATCATCTTTCCGCACATTTAACGTTCAGGTTATACTGGTTATGTAAAGCTCGATGGTTAGCCTTGTGTACTAGGAACCACCGCCGAATGTTTGATTAAGAAAGTGTTTTAAAATGTGTTTTGGAAATCATTTTGTAACTGAAAGTTGTTAAGATGATGTTGTGATTTGTAAAATTTTGTGTAAATGTTTATCTTATGTTTGGGTTGCTATTTATTTGGAATGTTGCTTCATTTCTTCGTTAAAAAAAGTAAGATGAAAGTTTATAGTGATTATTACATAACATATTATACATCACGTCTTTTATCCCCGAAGGGATAGGCAGAGGTGCTAAGTGCACCATGCCACTGCCTACAATGTAACACCCACTTTTCACTATTTATGTTATGAGTCCCATGTAATAGGGGGTGAGCTTATTTCCATATACCGGCCATAATTCCAGACTCCGTGCTGCTATTGAGAATTAAAAAAACCCAGTAATACTTAGCCCGACCTGGAAATCGAACCCGGCCAACGACGCAGTCAGTTTATAGTGATTGTTATTTCATAATTTTGTGTAAGTCATGTACGTATCTACTTACCTTACATTAACGAAGATAGGCGTGTTTGTAGCTTCTTAAACACTACATGCATATCTACTAATAATAGCTTAATAAGATTTTAATTAGCATTAATTCATTTAACCACTTACCTGGGTAGGTGTAAGCAGAAAACATTTGTCGTCCTTCGTTTAAATTAATCGCGACATTTTTAGTAATCTAATTACTTACGTATAGACACAAATAATTGTCTAAAGAAAACGTAAGTATAAATAAATTACAATGGACTTGGAAAACAAATTACACCTGCGTCTTGAGATATACGTGGGCGGTGGTAATTCTAGAACTAAGCTTGTTAAAGAAGTCTATTTATTTTAATGTGTTGTACTAAAATGTACTAATGGAACAGCTAAAACATTATATAAATAAAAATTACATTTTTTATGGGATACGCCGCTAAACGAGCTGATGAATCACCTGATGGTAAGCAATCGGTGTCGCTCATAGACACCCCGAACACTTGTGGTGTTACAAGTGCGTAACCGACGTTTTGGGGTTTAGAGGTTTGAGGATTGTTGGGGATTGGGGCGATTGGCGAAGGGGGGTATTTGGGCCTCCGGTAACCTCACTCACACGACGAAACACAATGCAAGCGTTGCTTCACGTCGGTTTTCTATGAGGCCGTGGTATCACGGCCCTTTTGTTCTGAAGCATAGCTCTCCCACATGTTAACATTTAGAGTTAGATAAGTGTTGGAAGAATTCAAAGGTCTTCTTTCTAACATTTTTTGCCACAAGCATGTGAATGTTTGAATACGTAATTTTTTCATAAACTACGTTTAAAAAAACCGACTTCGACCCCCTCTTTTTTATCGGTTAATTAATATACTAAAACCTTCTAAGTGTCATTAAAATTGGTTCAGCTAATCGTGAGATAACCGCGCACAAACATACAAACAGGTCAAACTAAGACCTTTGTTTGGAGTCGGTTAAAAATCATTATCATTTGCTATTTATAAAACTGAACATAAAAATATTCACTTCTAACACATTTTTCGATCTAACACATCCCTCTCTATTACAGATAACAAATTGCGATGGCTCCCTCAACGACCTGTCTTCAACTATCATCACTGTGAATTTAGATTCTGGAGGAACTCCAACTTGAAGACTCTGCCCTACTCGTTATGGTATCATATGTTTAGAGATCAACAAACAAGATGCCTCAATATTGGGTAAGTTTAGATGGTGCTTGTAATTTCCCAACTATTTCCAATAAATCCTCGTAGGCATCGTCCACATAGCTGCACGTCAAGGTATGCATTACCAGTATAAATTGCCCTTTAATGTGCAAGAGCATCATAGAAAGCGAGATCTTGATAAACTGGGATTGTTTAGCTTGATGCGTAGTCTTGTATACCTTCCTGCACAGTATACACATTGGGATATCATAAGGAACGTTATACGGGAATACACATAAGACCTTCTGGATATCTCGTGAATCAAAAAGTTATGTTGATATAAGCTTCAGAGATTATAATGGTGCATTTGTGGTTCCGTAACTATTAGGAAAAATGTTATAGGCCGAAACTATTTAGTCGAGGAAGTAGACCATTTTTCGCTAAAACTGTTATCATTTCCAGATGTTTAGAAGCTGCAAGTCACCAAAATGCAAATAAACGAAGAAATCAATGCAGATTAAAACTCTTGGACCAAGATTCCAATGAAATTGAAGTGACAATAGAACCTCCCTCGCAATACAATGTTGTACTAGAATCTAAATTTCATTCCCCACCGAGTTTATATGAACTAAGCAGAAGACAATTTTACCAAATGATTAACACTGCAGTAAGAAAACTTAACCCACAGACGTATAGTTTTTATTCAGAACATGTAAGAGAAAACCTTTATAATGAACACAATAATAACATAATAGATCTACAAGAGAATTTCCATGGATTTAACTTAGATGCTAACAAAAATAGTTCCTATGATGAGAATGGTAATGATTATAAACCCACGACAAAAGAAGAGGTACACAAGAAAAGCAAAAAGGCATATTACGTACCAGCTGATGTAATAAAAGAGTATTTCAATTTCTTACCCAATACTTTAATATCGGATCTCAGTAATGGACCAATTTCAACATGCGAAAATCTAAACTGCAAGAAACCCATATTTGATCATGTGTTTTACGAATTTTGTTTCGGGTAAGTTGTTAAAATATTTTTAAATCTTATTATAGTAAAAAATTATAAAGGTATCATACATTTGTTACTTTTTTCCAGGGATATCATCCTTATTGATAAAATCGAGGACGTTCTACTAAGTGCTGCGTTCTGTTCAAAATATTGTGCTGACTTTTGGAAAAGAAGCAAAAATGCTATTCCGTGGTCATTGTCCTAAAGGTAACATTAAAAATATGCAAGCAAGAATCGTTATTTTATTTTTTCATTGACTATAGTTATGTGGTTACGTTGATGTCGAACGTCTTTTGACTTGGTACTTGATGATTGCAGAAGGTAACATTAATCCGACCTTAAACTTTTTTTAAACTTTTAGCATTAAGACCAAAGAGTATAATAAGGATATGGACCATGGACACCATTTTTATGACATTCCCCCGTCAATAATTTGTTTGTTATTCAAAGAGCAAACAGTTTGAATTATTATTATTGAAGTCAAACTATCTTTATTGGCAAAAAATACCTTTTATTTTCCTTCAACAATCTCAGCTAATATCACGATTATGGGTGATGATGAAACAATAAAAATAGAAAAGATCAAAGAAAATATTCCAAATGTGGCTCCAGATGCGAATGTTCCGACTTCTCATGGGTACTTCTATGGTCATGCATGCCATTTGAGTGCAGATAAACTTTCGGCTTACGAGTTAAACTGTAAAGGAACTCGTAAATGGCTGTTTAACATAATCACTGTTCATGCTGGTGATGTAAGGGCTATCAATATGCACAGGTCGGTAATCGAAAACTCTATAATAATACTTATGTGCATTTCTGAAACAGGATTGAAAAAATCTCATCGGTAGTCGAGGGTACCTAACGACGTCGATTGTGTTTTGATGTTTCTTCGTAGAGTAGATAAAGTAAGGAAATGCCATATATCCAATAGCGATCAAAAGTGTGCATAAAACTTATGCAAAATGCTTTTTATTTTCTCTTTGCTTCTTCGGATCTTCTTATAGATAAAAGATTTCTTCTTCTTAGGTCTTACGCAGCATTATGTGCGGAGAAGTATCGTCACTACCAGCATTTTCGTTACACCATACATCCGTACAGCAAGCTAAGATTCTATTTGGAATTTTTGTTCGTCTTCCTGATGATACTGTCTTCTATTTTAGTAGCTTTACACTATGCAGAAAAACGAGGGGACTATTCTGTTAGTATATCTTTTAAACTAATAATTACTTTCATTTTCGTAACGGTATAAGTCAATAGTGTTTAATCTACAGTGTAGATAGAAACTTTATGTTACAAGTTGAGTCTAATGTCTAATGAGTCTGGTAAGGCCAATAGTGGAGGGCTCATAACAAATGTAGTACCCACAGTGTATACTTTGTTCGTCTCTGGATAAGCTGAAGACGTTATTTCCAGCAGGTACGTCACGTATACATAGTACATACATATCTACGTCTACTCGATCACCTATGTTTAATTTTATAATCATCAGCATAGGTATTTTATTTTCACCTTGGTTAATCTTTTTCCCTCTTCAGGATTACCACGAAGTTTTGCTGCTATTTAGTGATAGCATGATTATAGTGAATATAATTGTTAACTTCTTCACCGGGTACATAGAGGGATATTCCCGTAAGATGTCCGTTTTGTCCAAAAAGAAGATTGCAAGGAAATATATTACGACCTGGCTGATATTAGACGTAGTTGCCTGTTTCGGGATCCCTGCTAATTATTACAGTTCGCAGAAAACTTTTTATTTGGTCTTGGAGGCTATGAGATTGGTACGATTGCCCATAATAATGATCTATTTGCAAAACGTTCTCACCGTTATGAATGCATCGGTAAGTTGATTTCCATTTGTTAAAAATTTGATTAGCTTCCTAAGAAAACGTACAATCATAATATTTATAGCGTACCTTTTATGGAAACAGAATTATCAAAAAACTGGAGTGGAGATCCTATTTTCCCTGATAATGTTCTTAACATGGAACATTTACTTCCAATTTTCTGTGGACTACATCATTGAGGGAACTCACCTACCGCAAAATCCTAGAAACTGCTCATGGCTAACTGTGGGGAATCTCTGGAACCAGACTACTAAAGTTCGAATTCTTTATGCTTTTGACAGAGCTGGTATGTGAATCTAATAAACATTACTATTAATACCAATTACCCCCACCCCTCTGTCCCCCAATCTCCCCAACCCTGAATCCGAAACAATCCTCAAATTCCTAACCCCCAAAAGGCCGGCAATGCATTTGTAACGCCCCTGGTGTTCAGCGGCGCCGATTGTTTACCATCAGGTGATCCATCTGCTAGTTACTTGGTTATTTTATGGCTACCGGCTGATCGCATACAAAAATAAATACCTACATCAACCGCCCGTAAGAGTTGACATGCATGGTGGACTATGGACCTCGTCTACAAAAGAGGGGTTTGCGGACAGAGCGGGTTGCAGCTTAGTTTAAAAGGATCAGATTTATGTGTCATGTCTTGGTCTTTAGTCAGCTATCACGACACTTGTAGGAAGAGTATGGATAATGGATCCTACTCTATTACGACAAGACTATTATTAATTAAGGTTACCAAGTACTGGTCTGTGAACTTTACCTTCCATATTTCCTTATTATCTTACAGTTGGTATGTTAACGACAAACACAAACATGAATCTTCTAGAACAGAAAGGTTGCTTCGAAAATTTCATTGTTACTTGCTGGATTTTTTCTAAGGTGAGGTGAAGTTTAAGGATATTGTGTATGGTAGGTAACTACCAACGGCAAGTACCAATATGACCATATTTAGACACCACTGACGAACGGAGAACCTGGGCTTAAAGTTTCTGGTTATAAGTTTGTAATCGCCAACCCGCATTGAGCAAGCGTGGTGATTAGTGCTCAAACCTTCTCCTTGTGAGAAGAAGCTCTGCTCAGCAATGGGCATTTTTATGCTGTTGATGATGATGATGATGATGAGGATGAGGTACAAAATATATATAATAAAGTTTTATAAATGCATAAAATAACGTAAGTGGTGTTTGAGTAATACAGCCAATGGGCAGACTGTATTAACTGTATAAATAACTCTGGATATTCCAAACGTAAAAGGTATATTTTTACAGATTGTCATATACCATTACACATTGAAGTATATACTAGCACTATTTGGTAAAGAGTCCGCCAGAGCACATTATTATATGATGAAGAAACAACTACAAACTTACATGGCGCACAGAAACTTTCCGCCAAGGTTGAAGAGTAAAATCCTCAAGTTTTATGCTATAAGGTTTCAGTCTAAATACTTTGAGGTACGTGTTTGATACATAATTATAATGTTGGCCTGTCTGTGATGCAGATCGATATACATATTATGTCCATGTAGTATTTATTTAATTAATGTAATAAAGTATTCCTAATGTGCCGATCACACAATAATGAACCGATGATGATTATCTTGATTATCTACCTACCTAATATCCACAAATGAATACAGTCTTTTTTTATAATAACTATCGCGAGACATACTGGATGAAAAGATGGTTGCTCATGTAAATATACTGAGAAAAGTTCTACTAGTTTTGAATTACAGAGGGACTTTTCCTCATGAGTAGCGTGCGGTAACGGCAACGTCGCTCCGCTCGACCGCGCACGTGAATACGAATTGTCTGAGACTGATAGATACCGAGTTATTGTCCCTCGTTTAAATTAACTTTCTAATTAGGAATCTCGTATGCTCGGCTGTGTGTCTGGTCAACTACGAGAAGACATACTCATGCACACCGGCCGTCAGTTAGTGAGAGAACTGGAATTTCTGAAGCAACTACCAAGTTCCTTACTGGTACAAATTGCTTTTAAACTACGAGTTGTCATATACATCGCTGGTGATATTATATTCAAGATCAATACCGTGGGTAAGACGTTTTTTCTTGTTTTTTTGTGAGATAGGACAGGGAACTAGCAGAGGGTTTAGTCTGAATTTGTTTTACGTCGAAACGAGACCGCATTCAGCGCTCTGATTGGCCGGCTCTAATAAACCAACCAATCACCTCACCAGATGGCGAGCAATCGGCGCCGCCCATAAACAGTTAAACACCCGCTGCACTGGAGAAGTAGAGACCATTAACAACCTTTTAGGAATTTGAGTTATAGGGTCTCTTAAGTAACTTTGTTGTCACAGGATTACACTAAGTTGTTGTATTGTAGCAATTAGGAAGTTCACATCAAATTAATCTTCTTCTGAAGCCTAATGCATACCATGGAACTTCTGCTGTGGCGTGAGGCCAATGATGCTTTGATTGACTTCTGGGGTCCAATTTATTTTACAGTGTACTGAACTTCGTTTACGTAATATCTATCTAGTCAAAATAAAGACCCTCGCCATGTACACACATCGAGCTTTACATTACCAGTATAAACTGAACATTAAATGTCCAGAAAGATGATGTGACGCGACACCAGGATAAACTGGTTTTGTATAGATTCATGTGTGGCCGTGTGTACGTCGTCACTACAGTAGACTCTAATCTACTGAGTAATCGAAACAGTGGTCAAACGTCAAATTATGAAGTATAAAAAATATACTTACAGCTTTTTTTACCCACAGGCGATTGCATCTACTTCATCGACAGAGGAACAGTAGCCATTTATTCAGACTCTGGAAAGGAGATCTGCCATTTAGAAGACGGTGATTTCTTTGGAGAAATAGCTTTGGTAATGAAACACCATTTTAGAACGGCATCAGCCATAGCAGTGACCAATTGTGAGTTATTTAGATTAGATAGGGAACATTTTGAAACGACTATAGCGTATTATCCGACTGTGTATAATAGTATAAAGGAGGTTGCGACTAGTCGGTTTGAGAGAACCTGTGTGTTAGATGAACATCACAAAGCTGAACCGAGGACGGCTAAACAGGATTAAGGTGCTTGATTGTGATTGGTTTTGTTTTGCGGTCTGTGATTGGTTGTAAAATGCCATTGTTGTTATTCATAAGAGGACGTTTGTAAACGGAAACTGAGTGTTATGTTTAACTGTTACTCACGTAAATGTTTGACTAGGTACCTCGACTAGTTTCAAGCCACGCTAGAAACTCATATTGATTGGTAGGGTTGCGCGACTTTCACCGTGTCGCGTTGTATGTTATTCGAATTAATTTCAAGGTTTAAGGTTAATTTATGTTTAACATTAGAAGCTATAATTTTATTTAAGAAGAATAATAATTTTAAGAATAGATCTGAAATTATGAAGTTTAAATAAAACATGTTAATTATTTTCAAATTCGTTTTTATTTAAAACCAGCCACCATGTAGGACAAAGCGGAATCCTCTGATATTAAAAAATAGACAGTCGCTGTGATTATTTCACGAAATTAAATAGCGATGAAAACTCATCTTTATTATTATAATCATAAAACGCCAATTCGTTCAAAAATTTGAAATAATCACAGTACCTACGCTCTGTAACTTGTAGATTGATAAGATAGCTGAAATATTTCATAGCCTCGGCTACTCGGCACGATTTCTACAATCAACTTTAATTGCAATAAGCTTAACAACACTGAGCAAAATGATCAGATCAACAGAACTTTCAGCGCTCTAATTGGTTGGTTCTTTAAAGCCGACCAATCAGACGGCCCAACGCGGCCTCGTTTCGATTCATTACAAGTTAATGCAATAGTTCCCGATCCTATTTCTCCTTATTTTGTCATCAAATCTTGTGCAAATAAAGTTGAAAGTATCCATCGTATAACTCAACATTTTAATGTTACATAACATTATTTATTCACATAATGACTAATCTCTTTTCACTCGTTACATACAAACATCAGTCAATCGCTTTGGCAAGCAACCCAATAAACACATATGAAGAAAATGGACGATAAAATAATATATAGGATGTATTTGGGCTTGCAGTAGCAAATTCGCATTTTAGAAAAGGATTGAACCTTCCTTTCTCTAATGTTAGTGAATTACCTCTTTATACGAATTAGCAATGGCGGGTTCAAAATCAGACACCCTGTAGTCTAGTATTTGAATTCCTCTGAGTAAAAAATAATTGTGTGATCAGTAGCTTCATAACCACGATACAGGTGTAGACATCATCATACCAAAAATGTCATTCCATTTTCGACTTTACAACAAATCAAAAAGGCTGAAATTATATTAACTAATTTTAAATCTGATCATTTATCTTGGTAGTTTGAAGTGGTAGCGTCTGTACCAAAGAGATTTGATTACAATAGTTATTATAAAGAATAGGGTGATCCGATAGCTCAGTCAGTTCTCTATGTCCATGAAGGGATAAAGTAATAACGAGGAGTCGAAACAGAGGATGTATTATAAACATTTTATTTAGATTACTATGAACAATACCAATGATACAATTATTAAAACAGTACAGCCACAAGGCAATGACTATCTAAAAATCTATCTAAACCCATTGGCTTGTTCACACGTAGTTAAATAATTCTATTGGTTGAATAATGGACGTAATTCAATGGAAGAGACAGAATTTAGTAATTCGCTAATTTACACGTAATATCACAACCAAAATAAATAAATTCTTACATCTATACAATTGATATTGTTGAGTGAAAGTTACATTCGTGAACAAACGTAAAACAAATTATTGTATTATAAATTATAATAGATGCGATAAGGTCGAATGATTGTTGATAGAAATTGTCAATATAAGATGATTTATAGAAAAAGTAAACCTATGAAAAAACACTGAATTGATTTTAATGTGATTAGGTATAGATAGCTGTAAGTCGCTCACTTACGATGGAATATTGAAAGACTACTCAATTTTATGATATCGTGCCTTCTCTGTCATTTTACAAAGAATTTGTTGCGACAGAACTATACTTAACGGCGACTTAAGCCCTTTCAATTTTTGGGCGTTAGATCCTCATTCTATTATGGCTCCAATCGTAGACTATACTCGGAATTTTAATTCGATTCCAGATTTGACAATTTCAGTGTTGCAACGTTATGACAAGTACTAAATAGTGATGTTGCGAAATTATTCGATATGGAAATGCAATATTTCTGGATCGATGCTTCTCGTTTATAATTTTACTCTCGTAAACTAAGTATATCATGAAACTAAATATTTCTGAACCGATAATTTAGTTTTGACGATTAATTAACGATCTGAGACTTTTCTTTTATAATTGTGTGTGAAATAAATAAAAAAATGTAATCATGAAGGAACATGACAAATAAAACGGATAGATGTATTATGGTAATAATCTAATTTATAAATTGTCGCCGTCATCGCTATCGCTATCCTGTCACTTTCTGTAACATTTATTATAAAACACACACACTGATTGTTTATCGATTTTTGTGTTCATCACTATACTATTATTATGTGGTATCATTATTTCACAAAATGACAGTAGCTATTGTCAAATCTGGAATCTAATTAAAATTCTGACTATAGTTGCAACCGCGCGAGGTTGTTTTACGGTATTTGAACCAGGGGCCTTAGTACGAGTTTATTTTTCGTTTAAAGTAATCGTAACGAGTACGCGTTCGGTACTGTGATTGGCCGGCTCTAATGAACCAACCAATCAGAGCACAGAACGCCGTCTCGTACTTTAAACAAAAAATAAACTCGTACTAAGGCCTCAGATTGCCGCAACCAAATCAACTATTGTACTGTTACTGTATTTGTTGGTTGCATCACTAGTCGTCCAACAATTGGGTACTTGCTAACTAGTCAAATTCAATACTTTTTCGAACTGTCATAAACGACAGTTTTCTATGAATTTTGTACGAGATTGTGTATTTTTACGTCACGTTTTTGTACAGTCATATAGCGTACTTATTTCTTAAAAATTTGCTCATAAAATCAATGAATGAAAGTGTGAATATTTTTTTTAATATTTTATTGTATTGAACAGTCGAAATAATTTATTTTTGATGAAGGCAAGTACCCAATTAGACCATACCATTGAAATACGGCTTTTACGTTAATTAAATAAGTCTTGGTCAGAATAGAATAATATTATAAAAGAGAAGAAAAGAAAAATGTTAAGACAAATGTTACTTATAATCTCAATACATCAGTGTTAATTTTAAAAGACATCCATCGATATGTGAAATGAAGAAACCAATTTATTTAAGTAATAATTCGTCAAAAGCAAACAGATAACACAAACATTCAATTACGTAACTTCATTCATTTACTTATCAATAATTTAGATCAATCTTGAGTTAATAGACGTTTCGCCATTGTTACCATTACTCTCTCAATACAAAAATACATTCTTTAGCTGTCTTCTCTCAGAACTTGACCGAACAATCTTTATAGGAACGGAATATGTTTGAGGTAGGTTACGCAATATTAGGCTTTAAGGAATACATATATCCGTACAATAAGTATTTAGGCACATAATATCGCAACTTTAGGCTGCGTCTTCAAATATATATGTAAAATATCCTGCAAGTTTTGAGATCAGACAGCCTCTTCTCATATGAGTACAATCTGCATGAATATAAAAAAATCTTTATTCCATAACTTAATAAATTTTACATAATTTAGCGAGACTGGTTTGATAAAGATGTCGGTTTAAACAATTTATTTTTTATTCAGATACTGTTTAGTATCTGTTATAAGTACGGTTCTAGGCATGCCCTGTAGGCATTCCTAATAAATGGGTGACGTTTTTGTGCTCACTAAATGGCGCTATAATAGATCAAGGTCTTAATTTTTCAATACAAAATTTTCTAGTATCAAATACTTGACATCAACCAGTTATTGAACAAATAAGACTTCAAATTATATTAGCACTATCTGGTGGCCACAAAAACGTTAACCCTCATTGGTTCCTTACACTATAGTAATTTATGATTAACCAAAGGCTTACACTAATTTAGTTCAACATCTTCATCAAACCAGGATATCGTTTAGCTAAAATCGCCATAATTTACACATACTAATTAATAATTTCAGTTCATACATTTGTCCACACAATTTTGTGCCGCCGAACGTTTCCTTGAGCTTACAATGTATTGGAATTTATTGAACGAAGTTGTATTGCGCCTGCGTCGCAGTCGATACGGAGTAGTACATCTCGCTCATTACGTATGGACTCACGATAGCACTGGAAATTTAAAATGGAATTAGTTTCTATGTAATAAATAGAGGTATTATAAATTCATTGTAATTATTTTGAGG